ATTATTTATATATACACTACATAATAGTATATATAAATATTTTTTATATCTATAAAATCAGCCCTGGCTGGTGTGGTTCAGTGGATTTAGCGCCAGCCTGCAAATCAAAGGGTTGCCAGTTCGATCTCAGTCAGGGCACACGCCTGGGTTGTGGGCCAGGTCCCCAGTAGGGGGCATGTGAGAAGCAAACACACATTGATGTCTCTCTTCCTCTGTGCCTAAAAATAAATTCTTTTAAAAAAATAAAAAATGTATAATCAATAATACTAAAATGCCAAGCATACGTGATATATCAACATTAGAATTTTTACAGCCAAATACTTAGTAGAATACAATGGGATTTCCACAATGGAGAAGAGGGTAATCTTCCTTTACCCCAGGATAAACAAGAGATCCAGATGTTTCTTTCTGTGAACTGTTCCAAGAAACATTTCTCATGATTTATGATAAATCCACAGTCTGCATGTGTTTCTATAGTAACAGGAATAGAACGCGTGCACACAGCCTACAGTAATGAATCAGCTATGTTAGTTCTTGAAAACCTGGCATTTTTACTGTTCAAAGATTTCTATGACAAAACATTTAAAGTGAAAAATTTAAGACATACTATTGAAAAATTAGGGATCATTTTGTTTTAAAGCAAAAAAAATCTAAATTCAGTATATAAAGGCAAGCTTAAGTACGCATTCTTTGAGATGTAATAAGATAAAACTATCAAATATATTAATGTACTCATTTCTAACTGAATGATCTCTTAATGTTTGAAAATTGGATCCTGTAATGAAATGAATTCAGGACATACACACATTTCCCCCCACCCCGGAAAACTTCGTCAACTATGACTCATATTTAATGATTGAGTATGAAGATTTCTTGATGACAGCATCAAGGGAGATTTTCATTTTATTATTTTCCCCTCAAATCTACACAAAGAAAATAATGGGATGGGGGAGTTAACTTTTTAAAAAAATGTGGTCCATTATTTTCAGTATATAGGTTATCAAGAGTGAAACCAGAGCCTCTGTAAAAAAAACCTTGAAAACAATGCTTGAACCGTAGGAAGAATGCTAAAATCCCCTAATGCCAGGGTTTTAAAAGAGACTCTTTTTGGTTCTATGTTCTAGTCACATTTTAATCTAATTATATGATCAGAGTGATCTGTATTGCCCATTTGGCTTTCATAATTTAAAAATTATTTAATTGTTAATAATGTAATAACAACAGTATATCATTAAAAAGATTAGAGGTATGTTACTCTATTTTATTATGCCTATTTAAAAGTGTAAGCCATTCATCCTGTACGGAAGTAAGGAGTTAGGAAATCAAGAAAAAGGCTAAGACTCGAAAGGGCAGGCAGCTATGGAAAAATTGGGAAAGATCACCAAGAGCAATGATATATCATTAGAGACCAAGGCTAAGGTCATCCATACCCTCATATTCCCAATTACTATATACAAATACAGAAGGTGGACAGTAAAGAAGGCTGATAGGAAGAAAATTTGATTTATTTGAAATATAGTCTTTGAGGAGAGCTCTAAAGATACCCTGGATCCCCCAGAAAGACAACCAGCTGGGTCCTAGAGCAAATTAAGCCCGAAACATCACTGGGGGCAAAAATGACAAAATTGAAGCTGTCTTACTTTGGGTGTATCCTGAGAAGGCAGGTTTCCTTGGAAGAGACAATACTGCTGGGAGAAATGGGAGGCAACAGGAAAAGAGGAAGACCAAATATGAGATGGATTGACTCCATAAAAAAAAGCAACAGGCATGAGTCTGCTGGAGCTTTGCAGGGCTGTTCAGGACAAGACAGGACAGGAAGGACATCGTTCCCTTGTAGAGTCACCAGGAGTTAAAGCTGACTCACTGGCAGGGAAACACACACAAGGAGGTGAATATTTTTATAGAGCCCAAATATACACATTTAAAAATTGGCAAACACCAACTGCTGTTAAGTACGAACAGGACGCAAATTACACTAAAAAAAGAAAATCAATATTCTTCCATCACAAGGCTTTCTACAGTTTAACAACAACAGTAAAAAAAAATCAGGTGTGAGGGTGGGGGTTATGGAAAAAAAAATCAACCTCTTGGTTCTAAGAACTTGACCACACCTCTATACTACCGAAAAGGAAATCAACGACAATGTTTACCTTTTGTTCACCAAACAGCAGCTAAAATTGATAGCATCTAGTCTAGCTCTGCTACAGACACTGAGCAAATAACTGAATTTGGTATAGTGACTACACAACTCTATGTCAATCTTTCAGACAAAGTGGATCCTGCTTGGAAACTTTTATCAAGAAAATTTGAAGAGGTTGTTCCAGTTGTCTTTAAATGATCTCATCCTTTGAGGGAACAAAAACCATTATCAGATTATAAGATTTACTATTTTATCTACAAACAAAAGAAAGTGCTTTTAACACCATCCAAGTGTGATACAGTTGGTAGTTACAGCTATTCATAAAAGTTCTAACCACAGTGGTATAAAAGCTAACTATTTCTGGCTAAATTTGAGCATTTCTCTCTCTCAAAATTTGTTAAATTCCCTTAGTAATGCAAATACTTGGACTTCTGACTCTGAGGCTGTTATATAATGATATTAACTCTAGAGGTACTTAACAAATTTTTAATTTTCTTATGACTTTTTAAATAAAAATCAAGGATATCAAGATTATAAGGTTTGAAAAGGGTGCTGGTTAAACTTCTGAGTCATTTAAAGAGGTTTACTATGTTCTGGTTGAGGCTAACTCTTTGAACAGCTAATGATATGATTGAGGGGAAAATATTTTATTTTCTGAACTATTTTTCAGCAATTATATTAATAAAATATAAAATTTCCAAGTGACATAAAGGGCTTATAGTATGTAAAATAAATGCTCTAAATTAGTAAACCTTATCTGGGTATCTTGACTTAAAGGTACTTTCCAAGGTCGCCTTTTAAAAAGAACTCTAGGCTGCTGACTAATTTCTGCATTAAACTGGAAAATCTGCTTGCTTTAAAAAATAATTCAGAAGAGAACACATTCCTTTTATATTTTCACATGATTTTACTCACTTATCCACCAAGACACAAAGTAAATCATGTCATTTTTAATACAATTACTGACAACACGCATCCAAATCAGTGTTCTCACTGTCTATATATAATAAATTCAAACTATCAACAGAAGACACCCTTCTGCAACAGGGCTTGCTACATGACATTTGCTCATTAAGAAGCTAAGCAAAAACATAAAATTGGCCACTCTCTTCAATAAATGAAAGAGAAATACAATGTGAATTTGATGCTTAAACAATGAAAACAAAGCAGAAATAAATACTGATGGTATGTGCTTCTTTTCGCCCCAACTAAGGCACAGTATTTCTGTCATACTTTCTAAAAGACACAGTAACATTCCCACAGGATGCCCTGCTAATCTATAAATTTTATTCAATTTAAATAAGAATGCTCTCACAAAAGGCTATATATTGTGTATTTCCATTTGTATGAAATGTCCAGAATAGAAAAATCTGTAGAGACAAAGATTAGAGGCTGCCAGAGGCTGGAGGAAGAAGGAATGGAGTGACTGCTAATGGATATGGGATCTCTTTTTGGGGTAATGAAACCACAGAAATGTACACTTTAAAGGGGTAAATTGTATGGTATATGAATTATCTTTTTTAAAAAAATGCTCCAAAAGAAATCAAGAAAGCAATTACGTATCTTTCTCAACAATAAACTGTACAATATCCATTCAAAAAATGACTGGTTTGAATATACACTAAATGTGCTCAAAACAGCCCTGGCTAGGGGTGGCTAAGCTGTTTGAAGCATTGTCCTATACACCAAAGGATTGCGGGTTCCATCCCCAGCCAGGCACATACCTAGGTTGCGGGTCTGTAAAAAGTTTGTATTTCCAAAGCTACAGTAATTAAAATATGAGGTACTGGTAAAGGGACAGACAAGGTAGCAGAGTAAGATCCGAGACACAGGCCAAGGCTCTATGGGAATTTAGCATATTAACAGGAGAGGTACTACAGATGGGCAAGGGAAAAAACCAGAAGATTTTAAGAATGTTACTAGGAAAATGGCTCATCGATATACAAAAAAGAAAATTAGATCCTCAACATATAATATACCAAACTCCAGGTGGCTTAAAGACCAAATATGGAAAGTAAGACTTAAAAACTTCTAAGGTAAAACACCAACAAAAAACAGAAGTAGATTTTTTATGAACTCAAGGTAGGGAAGGATTTCTTAAATACACAGAGTATAACACAAAGGAAATAGGTAATAAGCAATATTAATTTTAAAAACCATATACCAAAAGACAACACAAACAAGTGAAAAGACAAGCCCCCCAGACTGGGAGAAGATAAATACAATGCAGAAAACAAAGCTGAGTTCTAACTCCCCAACTTTCTTGCGAATGTTCCCAGTTTGTACTATGTTCATTGGTTCTACCTTATCATTTCTCATCTGGATAAGAGCAACAGCTTCCAAACTGTTCTGCCTGTTTCCAAAGTTATCCACCTCCAATCTGCTCTGTAGAGTACTGACAGTACTTAAAAAAAGAAAAAAGCCAACCCCCACCCCCGCATATTTAATACTCTCCCATGGCTCTCCATGCCTTAGGACAAAATCCGAAAGCAGGAGACCTTTCTTGATTTAGCTTCTACTGACTTGCCTAGTCTCCTCCCCTGCCGCTTCAGCTTTCACACCTAGTCCACCACCAGTCTGGCATTTTCTCTCCTCAATCATTCATCCTTTAGGATTCTATTCAGATGTGTTAAAATACTCCAAAAAACTTTCCCAGGCTGACCTTCACACATCACACACCCTAAGAAGCCAGGTCAAGTACTCTCTTCTGCTGGCATAGCATTCTATGTATACTCCACTGTAGCATTTAATACATGGTAAAGGGCCATCTTGACCTAAATAAAGGAAGGGTGCACATGTGTGTAAGTGAACGTGATCTTAAAACATTTGTGTAAGAAATAACAGTAAAATACTTTATTACATCAGTTCTGGATACCAGCTGCTGTCAATTGCCCTCTGTAGGCTGAGACAATGTTGGGCCGAGGTTCACGCGAGCTCCTTCTTCCTTCCCATTCTGCCGCTGCTACTATAATGGGAAGGAGACCAAAAGTTATAGCCAGGTTCTCCCCACCCCAACCTACAAAGGCTTCTCTAATAAAACAAGTATTTATTGAACACTTACTATTCACCCGACACTGGGCTAAGCACTAAAGTTATAGGGATAAAAATTTAGGCATGGTCCCTACAATCATAAAATTACATTATTACTGGAGACAGAAAAGCAAAACGCAAAGTACAAGAGATGAGGCTCAGAAATGGTTCCTGGTAAGGTTCATTCATTCATTTCATATTGAGTGCCTTTATTTTGTTTAGTCCTGAGAACTAGAGATAAGAGGTGAGCAAGAAAGATCGGATGGCAGAAAGGGACAAGTGCCCTAGATGACCACAGAAAACTCCTGAGTTGAGAAGTTAGGGGATGTGAGAACAGAGAGAGGATGCAAGGGAGCTCAGACATTTCCAGGTTTAGGAAACAAAAAGCCCTAACCTGCCGGGAGGGAGAAGAGCTCCTTTGCTACATTATCTAAAAGGATTTTCAGTTCTGTTACAAACTTTCACCGCTTAGTATCACAGCTTCCATATGATTTAGATTACTAGAAAAGCCCTTCTTGATATATTACAATCCCAAATTACAAATATTTAATGAGAGCGCACTACTTAATCCAGAGAAACAGAAACAATTTAGATACCAAAGAATATAGAAAGACTGGCAGTTTATTTTGAAGACATGGGACTGCCTCATCTCTGAATCCCCAAGCCAACTGGAAAGCCTGGCACATTATCAATAAACAAATACATCGTAAACAGAAGGGAGTCCTGTAGTGAAGGGACCATAGGATTGGTTTAACAATTGAAATATTTTAATATGAACTAATAATCATTAAGTAATTAGCACTGTTGAAATCCCACGGTCTGTCTGTTAACACTGTGTGTTTAGAATTAACTATACAGATTTACCTTTTCCTTCCTAAGAAAGGTCATGAATAAAGCTAGAAAGTGTCTGCACTATGATTATTTATATATCCAACACAAAACCAAGCAAACAGCAGAAAAAAGATCGGACAGCTGAGAAGAAGGCAAGCTTCCTCAAAGCTCATGAACAGGCTGCCGAGAGCTAATAAACCAAACACAATTTTCTATGATGATTTTTTTATGTAAAGACAATAAACTTATTGGCCAACTAAAAAAAGGTTATGGGTTGTTTTACTACTAAAATATTTAGTGTATTTAAGATTTTCAGTTTCTAACCACCAAAATTTCTGGGTCGCATGGATTTGTGGGTGATTTTCACAAACATATGGGGGTGGGAGTTTGCCATGGTGATGACAGCACTAGTGAGAAGAACGGTTTTTCAAAATCTGTTCACTTAAATATATATTAACCACGGTTAAAAAAAAAAAGTCTCATCACATCTTGACTCTTGGCTAAGATCAAGCACGGTATTTGTTCTCATCCGTTTAATATCTGGTATGTCTTTTATCTGAGGACAATCGATTAAGTGCATTTTTTGAAGCAGGGAGATGGAATAGGAGCTTGCCATGTCCACTCCATGCATCGCCCCAGTTACGCAGTACTTCCAGGAACGGTGCGCAAAAAACAAAAACGAGACACCTCTCGACGGAAATTTATTTTATAAAGGTAAATAATGTGGTAAAAAAGGTAAAGGTAAAAAAACCTAAGTAAAAAGGTTTTCATTCACATCTTAAAACACTGCTAACTACTTTAAAATATGTCTAGCAATAGATAAGTAAAAATAAAATCCTTTCTACACTTACCATGTTGGCATTTCAAAATCAGAATCAAATCACTAATTTACTATAAGAAATACTTACTGTAATAAAATCTTTGATCTCCCACTACTCTCAGATAACTGAAACCAATATCAGGCAAATATTGCTTACATTAGTTAAACTGACTATGTCCACTACACACCGATGTTCATCTGTGGATCATAAGTCAAAACGACACAGGAGGAAATGAGGCCTTAGCAGTTCTCCTCTCCATCCCAACCAATGGCACAGAAGTGAATCTGAGTGAATTTCTTAATCTCTGTCTAAGAGCTTAGGAAATGAAGCTAAATACTCAAAAACTGACTATGGAGATACTTCCTCACATTTTTGTCCATTTTGTCAACTCAATTGCATTTTAGGTCGGGGGGCTTTAGTTGGTACATACGTGTACGTCTGGACAAAAGTTTGTTTTTAAAATAAAGAGTTCCCATAGAAACATTTCTATATGAAATCGTAACTAGTCACCTTAAATTACCCACACTAACTCTGCCAAGTAAATAATTCTCTTAAGTAAATGATTAAAAGCTGAGCCTCACCTTGCCTACTCCCAGACTCCAAATGGCATGTTACTCCAGATCCATCTCTTACTCCTCACAGAGTCCCTTTTTTTGGTTTCGTTTTGTCTGTGACATAGTTCATTACTGAATACCAACTATGTACCAAACCATGTTCTAGGTCCTGGGAAATCAAGGGAAAGCGATTCTGGTCTATAAACAAGAAAATTTCAGATACTGTTAAGCCAATAAATCAGGGTAATATGATACAGTGACTGGGGGGCTAGACTGTTATAAAAAGGGTTCCTGAAATCAAAACCCAAGATTGGAAAAAAAGAAGTGAAGAGGCCTGGCTGGTGTGGCTCAGTTGGTTGGAGCATCATCCCATAACCGAAAGGTTGCAGGTTCCATTCCCAGTCAGGACACATACCTAGGCTGCGGGTTCAATCCCCCATCCTCTGTCCGGGCTCAGGCTCTAGAATCATTAGGATCCCAGGTCCAGGTGCGTATGGGAGACAACCAAGTGATGTTTCTCTCTCCCATCAATGCTTCTCTCTTTACTTTCCCCTCTCCCTTTCTCTCTCTCTAAAAGCAATGGAAAAAAAAAAAAAAAAGTCCTCAGGTGAGGATAAGAAAAAAGAAAAAAAGTGAAGAGATAATCATCAGGTATATCTTTTACTTCCTATGGAGTTCTCTTTGTTTGAAAGGCTTCTGAGGTATGACTATTGTAAAAAGATTTAAATAATATTTTAGTTAAGTATTCCACATAACATAAGAAGCTTCAATTTTAAATATTATTTAACCATAACTACCCCAAAATACTACTGAAATGAACTCATTTTGTTGGTCAGCAGACTAGTCTGTTAATAATTACATAAATTAAAAGAATTTAAAATAATATTTTAGCTTTCCAATAACTATTACTAAGTTGTTTCCTGTGAATGGATTTATGCAGTAAGATAGTAAACATTTTTTAAAAATGAGATTTTAAAAACTCAAACTCACATAAACATACACATACAGTAATCACAAGAACAATGAATGTGAAAATGTCTACTTTTACTTAATTCTTTCCCTTCACTAAGAATATCTAAATCTCTCCTAGCCACATGTGGCCATTTAATTTTAAATAAACTAGAATGAAGTAAAATGAAAAACTTAGTTCTCAGGTATACCAGCCACATTTCAAGTGTTCAATATCCACACGTAGCTAATGACCATGGACATTGGACAGCACGGATGTAGAGCATGTCCATCATCGCAGAAAATTCTATTGGACAATGCTGATGTAAATTACTTTTCATATTTGACCTAAACAAAAACATCCCCCAAAACATTATAAGGTTAATCATAAACTTTTTTAAAAAATTGGTGAATAGTACTGTGAAGCTAGAAAGAAGACCCCTAAGAGGAAGTTTAGTAATCAGATCTATATCTAAAGAATAAGACAGACTCAGATAAATCTGGGGATAAGCAAAAATGTACTCTGACATTAGGCTTGCAATCATAAAACCTTAGTTTTTGTTCTGATTCTACCTCTAACTCAGCTACCTAATTTTGAAGAGATGCAACATCCTAAGGTTTTTCTTTATAGCCCATAATGTAGGTTAATTCAGGTGATCCAGATAACCTGAAATAACCCAAAACAATGGGAAAATGGGCTGTGATTCCTCCTAGTTATTAATACATAAAAGTATCTGGATTTTTCATTCTGACAAGAATATATGTGGTGTAAAATTAACTTTAATATCTTGCCTATCATATTAACATTATTAAAGATGTTCATTATTTGTAATAGCAAACAGTTATATAAATTCACAACCAACATCTCTTTACATAAATAAGATTTTAGGGGGTGGAATGAGCACTATCACAATATTTCTTTCTATAAAATTCTCTAAGTAAATAATCAAGGTGTGTCAGAGAGACGACACATTGTCTCCTACTTTTTTAAATTCTTTAGAGCAACACTATTTTTAAAAGCATAACTGTACTACTCCAGGATCTGCTTAAACTCTAGTGTTGTCATCCCAAATATTTTTTGAAACTTTCACTTCAAGTTTTTCTACTAAAAATGTGTTAAGTAATGGTCAAAGACATTAAAATATCCTATATTAGGACATGGCCTTCATGAAAGAAACTCGATTATGAAATCCAAAAATCTATACCTTATTTCATTTCACCAGAAACCCTGTCACTAAATACAATCACACAATTATCACTTGACTATGATTCCATTAAGTTACACAACATTTTAGGTTGCTTTGTCATTCTTATTTCTTTTCTGACCAAACCACATAGTATTGAACAGCCTTGTATCAATACAAAGCTTACTAGTAAAACACTCTGTTTTCCTTATCAATTTGGTTTAACCTCAACTGCCTTCACTTTATTTTTGACCACACCCATCAATAACAGACATGGTGTTGCCACTTGAAGAAAATATAGATTATTTTCCAATCCCTTACATCAAGGGTACTGGCTCACACTGAGAATTACCTGATATCTAGTAAACTGACAAGTTCATCCATCTACCTCTTTTTTTCCCCTACCTCTTTCTCCAACAAACTAATAATAAAATGGTTTCTCGGGCTGGTTCTTAAAATTTTGCAAGTGTTAACGCTTTCCTTTCCTTTCCTTTGTGTTCTTCATTCCCCAGAGCAAGACATAAAGAGAATGCATTACAGAAATGATATGTAGCTTTTAAAGGATTGGCAATTTATCACAATATCTAAATTATACTAAGTTTATCTTTTCTATAAAGACCAGGGTTTTTTTTGACTCATCAGGTTTAGCACTTCAGCATTTCAGGTTCAACTATATTCAACATGTTGTTTTCAAAATAAACAATAAAAGTTAGAACATAAGTCACTTCCTACCATAAAATCAAAATTTACATTATCACTTATTTCCTTAATCAGAACATTAAGTGTTGGTGAAGCTATAGCCATCATGCTGTTGTAACAACAGCGCTGCTAAATTTGGACTGGGAGGGTAACTTCACGTTCACACTTGTGCCAGCATGAATTCTCTTACCGAGTGAGAAACGCCCACATAACCCGTGCAAACATTCTGATCATTAGTTAACTTTTAACTTCTATCGAAGTTAGTTTAGGCCAACCAAGTTTATTTCCTCATCTATTAAACATGCAACTAAAGATCAGTTTGTTTTGCATGTGTTATTTTTCTTATATTAAAAAAAAGTCATTATCAGCTGTATCCTGATACAGCTCTAGGCACACTCTAGCACTTCTAATTTGGATCCCTAGAACTCCAGAACATAGTCATTTTCATCTCTCCTTCAGAGATAAGACCACTGAGCCTCAGTGGCAAGAGATACAGTGGGGAAAGGAACTTAGATTTCCTTGGCTCTCGCCCTAAACTCCACTGACCAGAGTTTTGTTTTGTTTTGTTTTCAAAGATGTTTTGTTAAATGGCTTAAAGCAAATAGAACTGTCAGGGTCAAAGTCAGTTAGAGCAAAGCAAACCTCTCATAAAAAAAGAAAACCAGGCCCTGGCTGGGTAGCTCAGCTGGTTAGGGCATTATCCGTATGCGCCAAGGTTGCAGGTTTGATCCCCAGTCAGGGCACATCAGCTAATGAATACATAAATAAGCGAAATAACTAGTCACTGTTTCTCTCTCTCCTCTGTCTCTATCCCTTTCTCCCTCTCTCTCTTCCTTCCTCTCTCTAAAAGCAGTAAGTCTAAAAATTTTTAAAAAAACAAAAAAGCTTTCCCAATGTGGACAAGTTTGCAACATTATATAGGTATAGCAGAATTTCTATAAACATTTTCTAAAATAAGGTATTTCTAAGTAACATTTGAATGAAAAGGAATGTCTTTTAAACCACATACAACACTCTCCATTGCACTGTACACTTTAACTGGGTGAACTGTATGGTACATGAATTCTCAATAAAACTGGTAGTTAAAAAAAAACTTTCTGGAGAACAATTTGAAAATATGTGTCAACAGCTTCTGAAATGTCCATATTTTTTAAGTAACTTTACTTCCAAGAATTTACTGTAATAAAATAATCACAGTAATAGTTTTTTTAACATCATCAAATTATAATACTCCCAAATTACAAACTACCATCAACAGAATGGAAAACATTTTTTACAATGAAATTTATGTTAATTTTGTAAATCACAGTATCAAAAACATTATTTCATAATAAAGCACGTTACAAAAGAATATAAATGTACAATTCCAATTTGTAAAAAACTATATATACATGAAAAAACACTGGAAGAATACAGAACAAAATGTTAATAGTAGTTACTTACAGTTAGTAGGATTTCAGGTACTA